AACGTTGCGCCAGTCATAATGAAAGCGGTGTTGGACAAAGTGCTATCACAAGGCGAAACAATCTGGAAAGGAACGTCATCATACATTGATGTTATTTTTGTGAATGAAGACATAATACCTGTTTTTTGCGTACTTGATCATTTGGAAACTTATGGGCTTCATTGCAAGCCGGTGGTCCACATATCCAATGGAGCAAGAGTTCTTGGTTTACAAGTCGGAATGGAAAATAAAAAGTTGTGTTGGAGAAGAGATAATGATTTTGGTGAAATTCCGAAATCACTAACAAGACGTAACATCTTTATTTTGTGCAGAAAAATGACAGGAAATCTTCCAGTTTGTGGTTGGTTGCGTGTAGCCTCGTCATATGTTATAGAAATAGCCTTGACAACAACATGGGGTGAAAAAATAAAATGCAATTATCTGGAAAAAGTGTTAAATGATATGATAAAAAGAACACGAAACGACGATCCTGCTAAAGGAATTTGGAGTGTTTGCAATATAATCGAAGACGCTTGTTGGTTAAGAAAAGATGACACAACACATATAAACATGTCTGAACTTGATGCAGTAATTAAAGGACTAAATATGGGCCTTAATTGGAAAATGGAAGTTCTACACATCTGCACTGATTCGAAAGTGGTATTCCATTGGGTTACCAACGCACTCACGGGAAAATCTAAACTGGGAAAAAAACTTCAAACGGAATGCTGATAAGAAGAAGACTTCATAACATTGCCAATATAATGGAAGAATACCAACTCAAAGTAGATATTCAACTTTTTGCTTTTGAGTTTAACTTGGCTGATGCCCTTGCTAGAGTGCCCAATAGTTGGTTAAAATTGGTTGATAAACCCTATAAAATGGCAGCAAGTGGCATTAGTAGTACTTCGCTATCTCCAAAGACATCGAGCAGGTTCATAAATCTACAGGATATTATGGCGTGAAGAAAACATTGTACTTCACTTGTAAAATTGACCCGTCAGTGAGCAAGGAAGACGTAAAACAAGTGGTTGAGAAATGCATAGCCTGTCAATCTATTGATCCAAGTCCAGTGAAATGGCTGAAAGAGGAAATAAAAGTAAAGAGAACGTGGCAACGACTTGGCATGGACATAACTCATTATGAGAGAGGCAGCACTATCTTACTTTAATCGACTGTGGACCTACACGGTATGCAATATGGCGATATCTTAAAGATCAAACTAGTGCATGTGTTATTCAAGAACTAAACGCGATATTTCTCGAACGTGGACGTCTGATGAAATACTGACGGACAATGATACTGCATTTCAAAGCACATTGTTTTCTCAGTTTGTAAATAAGTGGAATATTAAACTTCGATTCAGGTGCGCTTATGTACCTTCGGGAAATGAAATTGCAGAACGATGTCACTGAACTGTCAAAAGAATGTGGAAGAGAGTTCCGTGCAGCATACTAGAGGCAGTTTATTGGTATAATGTTAGTCCAAAAGATAGTTGTAAGTCTTCTACTGCACCTGCAAATAAGTTATATCTATACAAAATTAGAGTAGGAGGAATTGATAACAACAAGAATGCACATGATCCTCGTAAAAAGGTAACCAATAAATTCAAACTTGGCGATAAAGTATGGGTTAAACCCCTGGACAGCCAATGCGACTCTCAATATAAGATTGGAATAATTACAGAGATAATCTTAGAGCAAACGGTAAAAGTGGACAAAATGTGTCGACATGTACAAGACCTAAGACAAGTAAAAGTTGACAACAATTCAAATGAAGATCTTGGACAAGGAAGAGGTGATAATGATTTAAGTGAGGATTCAGAAGATGAGTTATACATTGTGCTGCTTCAAAAAAAAAAAAGCAAGACGTCAGTGTTACGTAGAAGCACACAAGAAAGGAGGGCCCCTGAACGTTTTAGTCCTTAAGATGAGATGGTAATTGTGACCAAGGGGAAGTGTAAAGTGTAATTATATTTTGTGATTGTTAACAATCGATTTGCGTTAATTGTAAATAGTTGTATATAATATAAAGTCATAGTTGTAAATACCAAGAGAATATGATTGTATATAAATTATGTTGAGTTCCATTAGAAAATATGAGGCGTTTAACGCTAAACTTATAAAGTTGATTTTGATGTTAAACAGTGCTATTAAAAACAACTGTAAAATTCCTTGAAATTTTACAACTTATTTCAGAATATATATATATATATATATATATATATATATATATATATATATATATATATATATATATATATATATATATATATATATATATATATATATATATATACACACACACATGCATAAATTTAGCTTTAAACACTACATTAAGTACATTAGAGTACAAAATAAGATAGTTAAATTATTTTTTTACAAATCCAAAAGTCAATGTTTTGAGGTACTTTTTTTTCACTTGTTTCTTAATGTTATTTAAAATGGATTAGACAGGCTCTTTTTTTTAATAATTATATAAGACTAATGGCACTGGTTAATAATATTGTTTGATAAACCTTAGTTTTGCTTTTTAAATCTCGAAAAAATTACAGTTAAAATAAAGTTTGTTTACGTTTTTATTTCCATTTCTGCACGCGCATAAATTTTATATCGGAACTGTGAAAAGGTTTTTATACTTGATTTAGAAAATTTTGAAGATGACCTATTGCATTTAATTAAAACAATAAAGTTTCGCCCTATAAAAAATAAATTTCAAACAGAATTAAAGTTAAATATTAAAAAAATTAAATCAAACCCAAATGTTTTGGTTTTTGCTGATAAAACAAATAACATTTACCAACTCACAACAGAAAACTATGAAAAAATTTTACGCAACAATATTACTAGTTCTTATGAAAAAGCCCCTAAAAATTTGGAAAACGCAATTAATTTAGAAGCCCAAAGTATTGCTAAAAAAATAAACCTTGATAATAGAATCGAATATACTGCCCCTGCCCAAGCCTTTTTAACACTAAAAGACCATAAACCAAACTTTCAAAACAAACTTCCTTGTAGGTTATTGGTTCCCTCAAAAAGTGAGATTGGACATGTAAGCAAAATTAAATTATACAAAATTAATAATATTCTTAGAAATAAATTAAATTTGCAACAGTGGAAAAGTACCACTGATGTTATAAATTGGTTCTCCATAATCGAAAATAAAGATGACTGTACATTTATGCAATTTGACATTAATGATTTTTACCTTTCAATAACTGCAATTATTTTAATTAAAACAATCGAATTTGCAAAAAGCCACACAGTTATTCCTGAAGAAACAATCTATATAATAAACCATTGTAGAAAAACTTTGCTTTACTTTAATAAAAGAAACTTGGAAAAAGAAAAACATACATGACTTCTTTGATGTGACAATGGGCAGTTATGACTGAGTGAGTTTGTTGGACTATACATTTTAGATTTATTAAGTAAAATAATCAATATAAATGATTTAGGCCTTTATCGCAACGATGGTTTAATAGTAATGCGTAAAAAATCTGGTCCACAGCTCAATAAGATTCGAAAAGATATTATAAAAATTTTTAAAAATATTGACTTTCAAATTGAAATAAAAATAAATTTAAAAATTGTGAACTTTCTTGATGTCACATTGAACCTCTCTGAAAATTCATATAAGCCTTTCAAAAAACCAAATGATGAATTATTGTATATTAATATTAACTCAAATCATCCACTACAAATTCTAAAACAAATCCGATTTCAATTAATAACAGGTTAAACCAAAACTCCTCTAATAAAAATGTATTTAATTCCTCCAAACGAATATTTGAAGATGCCCTTAAAAAAAGTGGTTTTGAAAATTTTGAACTAAAATTTGACCCTGAAAAAAAGAATACAAAAAAACAGAATAGAACTAGAAATGTAATTTGGTTCAACCCCCCATATAGCAAAAATGTTTCCACTAACATAGGAAAAGTGTTTTTAAAATTGGTCAATAAGCATTTCCCTCCCTCTAATAAATTACATAAAATTTTTAATCGAAATACAATTAAAGTTAGCTACAGTTGCATAAAAAATATGGAAAGAATTATAAAATGTCACAATAATGCTTTGTTAAATAAAAAAGAAATCCTAAATGAAAAAACTACAGAAAATTGTAATTGTAAACAAAAAAACAATTGTCCAATGAGTGGAAGTTGTTTATCAAAAAATGTGGTATATAAATGTGTTGTTTCCTCTAAGAATGTACCCGATAAACAATATATTGGCATAACAGAGGGTGAATGGAAAAAACGTTTTGCCAATCATAAGCAATCTTTTAAAAATAAAAAGTATTCAAAAGACACCATGCTGTCAAAATATATATGGAAACTAAAAGATAAAAATATTGATGATTTTATACTGAATTGGTCCATCCTTAAAACAGCGCCTGCATACAACAATATTTCCAAAAAATGCATACTATGTCTACAAGAAAAATTTCAAATAATTACACATGCAAACCAAGAATGTTTTTTAAACAAAAAATCGGAATTGATTTCTAAATGCAGGCACAAAAATAAGTTCCTCCTAAAAAACTATTAAAATAAGTGAGCTCAAATAATAGTTACATTAATTCCGCCCTTATTTAAAAATATTTTTATAAAAAAAAAAAAAAAAAAAAAAAAAAGCATGAATAATTTCTGATGAGTCTTTGTTGATGAAACACAGTGTAAAATGAAAAAAAAAATTTTGTTAAGTGATTTTCCACTAATTTATAATTGCTCTGTTCTTTTAAGAACATTGAGCACTCTTTTTTGTAGAATACATTTTTTAAAATTGTTTAAATATATATATATATATATATATATATATATATATATATATATATATATATATATATATATATATATATATATATACACACACAAATATATATATATACACAAATATATATATACACACACAAATATATATACACGCACACAAACACTACACAGGTACACACACATAGAATCTAATACATTTAAAATATATAAAAAATATCAAACATATTAATATAATACCTTTATTTTTTAGCCTTAAATCGCACATATGATAGTCCCATTATATTTCATCATCAACCTGAACCTGTTACTTATTGTTCATCTCTTAGCACATGCTTGTTAAGATGGGAAGTTGATTGGAATGGAGAAGAAATAGTAAGTTTTATAACAGTTTTATTATATGTTTGTGTTTATATGAATTTTTATGTATGAAGAATCTATCAAATATCATTTTAGTACACTTTCAATTTTTTTAATAAATAAAATTTAAGTGCTTGTAATTAATATATTAGTAATATAAATCCAAACATTCACATCAAATTCCTTGTTGAAATACTCATTTAGTTAAATTATAAACTTCCAGAATCCTTGGAAAAATCACTTAGTTTTGGATTTACTAGGATAATACTGAAGACTCCTTAAGATTTATTTCAAAATGGTTCATAACTGAAAAAATGCTGTTTTTAAAAATAATAGCAACATAATTACAGATAATTTTAAGTGGGAGGACAACAGATATTTTGAAAATATATTTTTTATCTACCTTTGTATCAATAAGCTTGCTTATATATTTTTTTTAAATTATTTTTTAACATTTTTTTAAATTTTTTTGATCTCTATTTAAATGTTTACATTTTTCAAGTCAGTTTCAAGGTTATCATGATCACCCTGATTCTGATGATGTAAAATGCTGCCTTGTAGAATTTTTTTTTTGTAGGTTCCTTTTGTTTATTCACAAAAACTAGGAGAAGTAAACTCTGACTTAAAATATACACTGTCAGAGTCTATTCTAGGAAAAAAATTTGGGCAACAGTACCCTCTTGTTCCGGCAAACTTTAGCAGAAAATCTGAGGTTTTTTTTTGCGAAAAAAACAATAATTGTCTTAAAAAAAAACAAGGTCCTCAAATTTTAGTTTGGGCTGTGCCCAAATTGGTGCTCAAATATGGTTGACGCTATTGAAATTGGTTTAGAATAGCCCCTGACTGTCTTGAAGCTCTCGGGTAAGTGAAGGCAAGTTATTATAAAGTGTGTGTTTCTTGATAAAAATACTTATCTTGGGCAGTTTTAACTGCATCTGGCTACTGTCTTGTAAAAAGGCTACTAAGCAAAGACTCTTGTGGTAAGCAGAAAAGTTCTGATGACCAGTCACACATCTTTTCTTCATCATTAGGCTGGCATAGGTGTAAGTCTGTGTTACATATACTTCTTTTTAGTATGATGAATGCTGGATCTTCTTGGCTCTTGTCATGAGTTTTGCTTGCAACTTGTTATTAGTGACTATGCAACTTTTCTGGTTATCTCCTAATTAGTAAATGACTGTGACCCTGGGTAAATTTTTTACAACGGCAAACTTTTTAGCCATGGCAAAATTATAAGATTTAGCAGGAGTTGATAGCTGGAGCTAAGAAATCATTTATGATTTATATAATATAAATTTCTGCATACATTTACTTTTTATTAAATACTGGCATACATATTTTAAAGTTATTCACTCCCAACAAATTTGCAAGCAACCATTATTAAGTTCAGAGTTACTAGAAAACAAAGAATAGAGTTAAAGAGCAACAATATGATTGACAGAAGACTTGAAAAATTGTAGGTTTTATCGATAGTTGTTTGTAGTAAATAACTGAATTTTGTTGCAGTTAAAATCCAAAGACCCCATGCTGTTACAGAATAGGGATCAGATTAAAGATCCGCTGCTTTTTCTAAGCGATCGAAAGATGAAGACTTTTTATAAAATAAAAGTTTAAAATTGAGTTGTCAGCAAATAAAGCCATTTTAGATAATTATTATTATGATTATTTTTATAGATAATTATCTATAATAATAATAATCTAAAGTGTTTTCTAATTCATTATTATTATTATTATTATTATTATTATTATTATTATTATTATTAAGGTTTACAAATTGGATTTGTATAGGCATGAAATGCCTGTCAACCTGTCTTATGATTACTATATAAATATACTAGTCATAAATTGTTTTTTCTTCTTTTAGATAATTGTCGAGTTTGTTTTTAAAATTGCTTACGGAAGTAGCATTTACAACGTCATCTGGGAGGGAGTTCCATTTGTTGATTACTCGTAAGGTGAAAAAGTATTGACGAGAAGCTAGACGAGAATAAGGTTTTTCTAGTTTAAATGAATGTCCTCTTGTAATAGAATTTATAATTGTTTTTGGAAAGATCGTTTGACAGTTGTAGTAGTTGTTTAGCCATTTATAGACGTTTATTAAATCAGCCCGGATTAGTCTGTATCTTATGGTTGTCATATTAAGTTTCAATAGTCTTTGGTGATATGTTAGACTTTTTAATCCATGAACTGATTTAGATGCTCTTCTGAGTATATTTTCAACTTGTCGTTTGTCTTTCAGTAGACGAGGGTTATATACAGAACCACAATATTCTAAATATGGTCGTACTAGTGCTGAAAACAGTCTTTTAAAACAAAATGAATTTAGATAAGAGAAAGATCTTTTTATTAGAAATAGCATCTGCATTGCCCTATTAACTTGAGTAGAGGTATGTTTAGAAAATAGCAAGTTATTATCGATATGTACTCCGAGGTCAGTTTCTGAGTTGGTAGATTTGATATCAATCCTTGTTTTCTTCACTGGATCGTACATAGAATAGACAAGATGTTTATTTTTATGACCTAGGTGTAAAACTGAACATTTTTCTATATTAAATTTCATCCCCCATTTAGTTGCCCAGTCAACCAAGATATCAATATCATTTTGAAGTACGGTGTGTGAATGCAAATTAGTAATAGGGTAAAATATTTTTGTATCGTCAGCAAAAAGTGCTGCATTTGAAGTAATTATATTGGGAATATCGTTAACGTATATAATGAATAATAGAGCTGAGAGAACAGAACCTTGGGGAACTCCACTTTTTACTGATACCCAATCAGAGTAATTACCATTTATCATTACTCTTTGTCTTCGATTTGTGAGAAAGTTTCTTATCCAAGAGAGAATTGGACCATTAATCCCATAGGCTTTTAGTTTCAAAAGAAGATAGTCGTGTGGGACTTTGTCAAATGCTTTTTCAAAGTCAAGGTAAATATTATCGACGGGAAGACCTTTATCTAAATTAAGTGTCCATGTATTGATTACAGTAAGAAGATTTGTTTCACAAGAGCGCCCTGGATAAAAACCGTGTTGACTAGGAGTTAGTAGATTATTTTTTAAAAGATGAATAAAAATATGTTTTTGTATTATTTTTTCAAATATTTTGACTATAGTGCATGTTAAACTAATGGGTCTATAGTTGGTAACTAGTTTCTTGTCTCCTTTTTTGAAAATTGGAATGATATTTGCATCTTTCCAGATTTGTGGTAATGTACTAGTTTGAAGTACCTTAGTATAAATAATAGAAAGATGTTTAGAGATTTGGTGATGGGTTTCTTTTAATATTTTGGGATGTATCTCATCTGGACCCGGTGATTTAAATGACTTTATAGACAGAAGATGAGATGCAATGTTTTCAGGAGATAGATCAAGATTATTAGAGATTTGACTGGGACAAATAGAAGATAAGTTAAAACTTGGAACAATCAATGTATCATTATCAGAAAAATTACTAGCAAAGTAATTATTGAAGCATTGAGCCTTTTCAAGATCGGTGGTAGCAACTATCTTATTGTGGAATATTTCAGGAATGAGATTTTTTATAAGATTTTTTGATTTTATGTATGAAAAAAAAGCTTTAGGATTTTTGTTGATGTTTTTAGCAATTTCTTTTTCAAAATTTATTATAGCATTTCTGCAAGCTGCTTTAGTTCTGTTACGCGCTCGACAATAGTCAAAGTAAGTTTTACCATTCCGTTTATGAATGTAGTCTTGATATTTAATTTGTTTATTTCTTATTTCTTCTGCTACTTGGGCGGTTATCCATTGTGAACGCTTTTTAGGTTTTGTTGAGGATTTTGGAACATTTTTTTTAATAGTGTTTTTAAGGTTTGTGTAGAATGTATCCCAAAGTTGTTCTGAATTATAGTTTTGATTTAACACTAAGGTTGATAGATCTTTATTAATTTTATTATAGTTTCCTTTAGAGAATAATTGCTTATTAATAGTATGAGTTGGTTTATCTATTGGATCGGTTAGTACGGTAAAGTATAAAAGGTGATGATGACTTTTTCCAATTGGAGCAAGGTGGGTTATTGGTGAAATTATGTTTTCCACGGATGTTATTATAAGATCGATAGTAGTTGGTTTTTGATTTTTTCTGAAGTGGGTTGGTTTAGATATATGTTGTGTGAGGAAACAATTGCGGATTGAATTTATGAATTTTAAAGATTTTGATGAGTGAGATATCGGGTTTCCTTTTTTGTTAGACCAAGTTATATCTGGGTAGTTAAAGTCTCCAACAATAAGGATGTTTTCGTATTTTTCAGAAAGATTAGTTATGTGTTGATTTATATAGTTATCATTTTCGTCATTGCTATTTGGAGATCTGTAGAATGTTGTTATTAGTAGCTTAGAATTTTTTGTTTGAATTTCACAACTAATTGATTCTGATGCAATGGTATCAAAGGTAACCAATGACGATTTTAACGATATATGTACAAATATTGCTACACCTCTTTGACATGATTTATTATTGTGATTTGATAGTGTTATGTAGTTTTCTATAGTAATTTCTTGATCACCGCACATTGATCGGCAATTTTTAGGCAAAGTTTCAGTAAGACAAATGAGATGTGGTTTAAGTTTTTGAACAATGAAATTTAGTTCTTGGCGTTTGTTTAAAATCGAATCAATGTTGGTATAAATTAATTTTAGTGATTTGATTTGTGTGAGCTTGTTATTTTTATCAGATTTGAAGGATAACCATTTATTTATTTGTTTAATATTATTTAATGTGTTTGCTAAAGTTGAGTTTAACAATTTTGTTGCGCCTGATGCACCATCGAAAGGGCGAGTTTGGTTCATTTTCTAAAAGCTGGTGGTTTTTATTCTTTTTTTCTTTTCTTAATTCAAAATCTATTAGCCTTTCTGCTGGTGTCATATCCGGGTTTAAATAAACATTTTTATAGTTGTCGTTATTTCTTAATTCCCTAGACGCGAATAGAACTTATTGCGTTCACAGTTTTCAGGAAGTACAGCAATAATTGGAGATGGATTTTTTGAAACTTTTTTTTTT